TCAGTAATAATACAGGGTAGAAGCTATGCTTGTATATTTCCAGAAAACCCAACCTGTCATCATGGAGACAACTGAAGGACCTGACACTTGAGGCTGAGCAGATGGTTCAACAACAAGGAGGTATTAAGACTCCAATCTCAATGTTTGTGGTTATGCTGGTTCTATTGAGCTGTCAGGTAACTGGAGTCCACGGAGACACTTATTGGACCCATCTCCCAGATCCACATTTAGGACATCCAGCTGTGTGGACTGAAGAATCCATTCCAGTATTTACTAATGATATTTATATAATGGGAAGTTTCACAGACAAACACATTACACCTATATTCATGCCACTGGATCTAATCATATTAGGTACAGTGAGAATCCACCTATATGTTAGTCTCATGATAAACATGCTGGCTGTTCAAAATAACTTTTGAGTAAAAGACATCAAATAAGGGACCTGTATCAAACAATAATACTGGCCCTTGGTACCTAAGATCATAGGATTAGTGTGGGACTTTCCCATAACAAGCCAATTATTTCCAGGGAACATCCACCAGTACCTTGCTGCCCTAATAGTTTTGCAACAGAATTTGGCACCTTCCCTAAATGGCTGGAATGCACAGATGCCTTGACAATGCAACATAAAGTTTCTAGAAATGGTGGACAGATTTTGGATTGGTTTCCAAGAATTGATAAGAGATAGCTACATCTGGATGCCATGACCCCTGGAGTATTCGTTGGTAATATTCTAACTTTCAATGAAGGTAACATGCAAAAAGATCTGTGACATTTAATAACAGCTTCAGATTTTCTCCATTATACAGTTGGCTCTAAAGGCAGGAACTGGAAGGGGGGCTTCTGCAATGGCCTGTAAGCCTATCCAATCTCCTACGCTTTAATTACTAGAAATGTAAGAGTAAAGAAAAAAAGATAATGTCATGTAACTTGTAAAAGGTGTAATCTGACTAATTGCATCACTAGGTATAATAGAGGGAAAGGAACTCTGATTCTTCATCAACCCTCCTTTGCCTTACTCCCAGCTAACATTTCAGGGCCATGATATGCTTATGCCGGGATTCAAGTTTTGCAACGGATACATGCTCAGCTAACCAGACACATTTGAGCTTTCAGCCTCATAATTCTTGGAAGGAATTAGGTAAATATTGGTGAAAAGATTGAGACTAAATTAAATGCTTTGAAAGCTACTGTCATAAATATAGGAGATAAACTTTCTACTCTCAAATTTGAACAAAGGCTTAGCCGTCATGCCAGCTATAAATATGTTTGCAATGCTGCAGACAAAATAATGCTTCCCAGTGGGATTGGGAAAAGGTCAAAAATCATCTAGTGGGCATTTGGCATAGCAATAATAATAACTTGGACCTTATGAAGTTACATCATCACATCCAGGATATTCAGAAAAGCAAAATTGATTTCATGGTCCCTGCATCTCCAGCTACACAAATACTTCATGAATTAAATGGCTTTACTCCTGGAAATATGTTGACGCATTCTGCATGGCATATTATTGAAATGATATGTTTGATACTAATTCTTTTTTGTGTCATGATACTAGGTTGTCCTCCTCTCAGAACAAAGATCCAGGAACTCCAAGTAAGTGCACACTGCTTGCATTTAAAAAGTAAATAAGGGGGCAATTTTGGAAGTTGTGTATAAATTATGGGCTTGTTTGAATCATCATAAGGCAAGGAGGCTACTTTTGGGGAAACTCCTAGATGAAATTCCCTGGTCTAAGAAAGCCCAGATCATCCTGTTTCCCTACCTCAGCTCACAGCACTATGTTCAAACACAGCCACCTGGAGACAGGCATAACCTGCTAAGCCCCAAACAACTTGTTTTCCCCATTCTTATCCTGTTTTCCTGAAGAAGCTCCTCACTGAATCCCTTTGGTGTGTTTCACTATAAATATAGCATTCCTGAGCTTTTCCCATTGTTAGGATCAGACCCATCAGGTCTCTTCCACTCATCAAGCCCCTTCTTCAAATATTTTCCTGAATCTTTGTTTTCTTTCTTTCTTCTTTTTTTAAATTTATTTTTTAGTTGTAGTTGGACAAATACCTTTGTTTTATTTATTTATTTTTATGTGGTGCTGAGGATCGAACCCAGGGCCTTGCTCGTGGGAGGCAAGTGCTCTACCCCTGAGCCACAACCTCAGCCCCATGCTTTATTTCTTGATATTACTTTTTCAGACTCTTCATTTCCAGCCAGCCCACACCTCAGAGGGTTACTTATTCCATTCCCATACAGGTTGCAGGTGACAGGATCCTAATTAAAATAAGATACTTCATGTTTGTATAAATATGTCAAAATATACTCAACTGTCATGTATAACTAAAAATAGCAAATAAAAAATGCCTATAGAAACTGATTTACAGAGGTTGCAGAGATTCTATTTTCTTAAAAATTATCAGTCTCAATTAGATTCAAAGTTTACTGTCTCTGAAAGAAGAAAAATTTTGAGAGACTTTTACTCCTACTCCAATTGTCCATTTGGAAATCATTCTGATCATGTTTTACATGATAATAATAAGAAAATATTCTATTCTAATATGCCAATGAGAAATTAATTTAACTTTAAAATTTTTAACTTATGCCAATGTAGTGAAAAGGAAAAAATGTTTTCCTTAGACATTAGACTCTCAGGTTGAACAAAGAGGCCCTATTATAAAAGCCCTATATTCAGTAAATTCATGGCAAATCAGGAGTTAAAAATTGGAATGAGAAAACTATACTTCCAAAAAAGACTGAATACAAAGAACTAAAACCATCTATGGTGGTTATAAAAATAATATTATTCTACAAAACTAACCATATAATTCAGTGAAATAGTTTATCAAGATTGTCAGTACATTTGTCAAGAAAAGGAGAACACACAGTTCTCATACTCTGTCATTATGTTATAGAAAAACTGCAAAGAAACCTGTTTATATATTTATTTTATATATTTAAATATAAGAAACAGATATGCATGAAAATCAATCTCTCTCTCTCTCTCTCCACACACACACACAAACACACACACACACACAGCCTGAACATACTTCCCTATACTATACCATTGAAAGGGTCCCTTTGAATTAAGCCTTAGATAATAAATATACAGACCTTTAAAAATGGTTATGAATATTTCTCTCTCTCCTTGTGTTTCCTTCCAGTGAACAGAGCTCACTCAGTGTTAACTTCAGTTGTTCCGCTCCTTGATTCACTTCTACCACATGGAAGTGGAGTGATCGGCAGATAAGTTTGGGAAGAAAAACTAGGCAGTCTGGCTCTGTTCTGTCATTCTTCTCTTAGAAGCAAGCCTGCCCACATAAATCATGCATTCTCCACTACTTCTCCATGACAGACCTACCCCTGCAGGGAGATGTCATAATGGACCTGATTTTATCAGTACCCTGTTAGAGAACCAAGATTTATGAAGAGACTCATTTAGCCCTCACATTGAGCTATGGCCTTCAACCTGCTCTTTTGAACTTAAAAAGTGATATTTTGGCCTCCAACTGTATTCTATCTGTTGGGAGCACCTTGGAAGTTACAATATCTTATAAAAGGTAATCCTCCTGATGGGAACTTATGCTAAGGAGTTAACCTCAATCAAGAAACACTGTTTAAAATGCACAAAGATATTCACTACCACGCTAATAAAATAATTTTAAAAACTTCCAAAATCTAAACCATCACTGGATATAAATCAACAGATAAATCTACAAGAAAATAATAATTATAATAACTGTGCAAAGCATAGGAAAATGTTTTTGAAGGGTTATCAGAATAAAAATGAAGGTACAATGAAATCCAAACTTCTTACCATGGCTGCAAGTTTCTACCTGACCTGATTCCTGACATTTTGTTGAATCTTTTCCCCTCTCCTTGCTTTCCTTCCATTTCTGGTAGAAGCCAAGCTTCTACATTTACTGTTCACAAACTAGTTCCTTCTTATGTGTATCTTTCCTTATCCGAGGAAAGCACAGCTGATCACCCTGGCTAATGGCCCCACGCCATCCTTTTTTTCCACAGGAGCTTTCTTTATGCAATCTAACGTGTTTATTTACTTATTTGCCCTTTTATACCAGCAGAAGGTAGGTTCCACAAGAACCTCCCATGTCCTGGTATTTACAGCATTGCGGGACACATAATTCAACAAATGTTTATTTGAATAACAAAGACTTGACATAATCAAAAACATTTAAAAAAGTATATAAAGAGGGAATTCTAGAAGGCAACATTAATTGCAATGTTATAATCACTTAGTGGAGAAAAAGTCATATCAAAACTCAAAGGCTTCTCCTAAAAATCAAAAAGAGATCAATAGAGGAAAGGGATCAAGGGGTGGGAGGTGTGGAGGGAAGGGGGAAGTGCTGGGGAGTGACATTGATCAAACTGGATTGTTAGATTGTGTGCATTGCATGTACGGATGTATCGCAGCAGATCTCATCATTATGTACAACTATAATGCATCAATAAAAAAAAGTAGGGGAAAAAAAGAAAATCATGCTAAAATGAAAAAGCCTTGAAGCCAAGGTTAAGTAGTGGGGTGGAGGCATCAAGAGACTAAGGAAGGCAGACTTCCGCACCCAGGCCACCTCAGGACAGTGCTGCTTGTCCTTAGTTTTCTACAGTGGGTTCCCATCCAAAAGTTGTTAAAAGACTGGGTTTATAGCAATAAAATATTTGAAACAGTATATTAGTGCCTCATTAATGTACTATTTAAGATGTTAGGACCAGGGGGAAAAAATCAATTAATAGGGTATAAATTTTAAAAAAGCCTATGAAGGGGAAATTTGGAAGGAAAAAAAAAAAAAGTATGGGTCCAAAAATAACATGCCCAACTTTCCTAAAATAAAAGTCTGATGAAGAGTTAAAAATAACTAGAAAACATAACATGCCAAAACATAAAACAAGAAAGAAAACGTGTTCACACATGTAATCTACATGGAAAGTTTCAATATGTACATTGTACAATGTATTACCGAAAACTCAGTCTGCCATACCTGGCCAGAGTCTCCAGTACAATATTCAGTGATATCACACCCATTCACGGCATCCCGACACTCATAACCTCGTGGCTGAAACTGTAAATCAAAACCCAATATTAGGAGCTAGTACTAATTAATCTTTGAAAAAGTTACTCTTAAATTCACCAGTAATAATCTTGTAACCAACTACCACCAGTCCCTTTTGATGAATTAATACAATAACTACAGGACGATACAAGGCCAGACGAGACTGTCTACACTGAAGATGAGTCATCAGCCAAGGCATTAAGTATTCAGGCTTCAATCGAACTGTCTCCAAATATTATTTTAGGAAAGCAATGTAATGGAAATTATGTAAAGAAGAAACACTGATTCGTTTTGAGACAGAGGAGCAAAACACTGTAATATAAACATTTAAGATCTCTCTAAACGATTGATGTACATTTCCAACCTGCACTAATTTATTTAATTTATATTTAGCTTGAATGTTAATCTTACCTTAACTAAATATATACAATAAAATTACAATGAATCTACATAAATTACCTTCAGTGATGCCAGTGATTGCCTATGATGTACAAAACATTTTGTTTATATGGGAAAGGATGAGTACAACATGAAAAAAGACTCATTAGCTTTAAGCAATTTATAATCTGGTAGGGGGCATGAAGCAAGTATAAACTAAGCTAGAATCTTCTAGAATATAGTACCATAGAATATCCCTCTGTATTGAAAAAAATCAGTAAAACTATGTAATTTTATACTTACAGGAAATATCACAGGCCTCATATATTAGGAAAAGGAATATCGAAAATGACTTTTCAAAAACTGTGGATCACTATAAATAGAAGACTGTGTCCACACATATTCACACACAAATTGTGCATACACATATATGAACATACATAATTACGCTCTTATCTAGCTTTCCTGATTACATAGAGGATTCAAAAAGCCAAGTGGAAAAATATGAACACTACCTTTTATACTTGAGGTCTAAAATGAATTAGGGAAAGTTTTGAAGTAAAAGTTATAAGTAGGTCCTATTATCAAAAAGATAATAGGTATTGTCCCTCTTCTATTCAATGACTTGTTTGAGTCTCATCTGTGTTAGTAGGGCAACTCCCAATGTTTTTTTTTTGGAAGCTGCATAGGTATATTTTCTTAAGGAGATGATAGAGGATAAGACAGTGGATACAGAGTAACAGTAAACGCAAATGTTGTGAACCACCAAAGTTGGATGGAATTACTGATTCTACAAAATTATTGAGCCAACATTCACACATTTATGACAAGCTACACAAATGCTCAATGCACATACTGAGATATTTGGTTAAGCTGTCAATTAAAAGAAAGACGAAGCTGTCGGGTAACTCACAAGGCATGAGGTATTGTTACAGCAGGGCCCATCGCTGCAGTGGGCCCCGTTGGACAGGGAGCACTTCTTACAGCACAATCCATAGCATTCCTAGAGAAAAACATCTTAAATGAGTAAAGCCACTCTTGACATTCTCTCTACATGTGCCTTATGCAAAATCCAAGTGAGCAAACATGTGTAATTATAAGCAAATATTTTAGCAAAGAAAGATCACTTTGTGGTCTCCTTCCTGCCACATTTCCTAGCACAGCATGATCTCCTATGAAAGGACTTCTCTCTCAAAGAGTATCTAATTGTTAAACAGTGCCCCACCCCTGGTTAGCTCTACTAACATTCTTACTACCTAGTTAAGTTTTATAAAGGCAAAAGCAATAAAGAGCATGGGGAAAAAAAAGTGTTTTGTGATTTGGTAAAAGTTATCCAACCTGATATGAGTCATGGATTTTTAAAGAGGTAGGAAATTTGATTAGAACAATCCATTTGTCCTTTTCAGACAAGGCCCATAAGGACATGACTAATGCTAGCATGTCTAAATTGGGAAGGAGTATTGATCAGAGAAGTCAGAAAGAAAGGCAGTGGGGCGACAATGAACAGCAGAGACGCCTCTCACTAACAATGTTCTTATTAGTGATGGAGGAGCTGTACTGAAGGTAGAGTCCCTTCTTATACCCACCACATGGAAACCACAGTCACATTCCTCCCCAGCTTCTACGTATCCATTTCCACATTCTGTAGGCTCAAATAGCTGAAAGAGATTAGGAAGAGAAAAGGAAAATAATTTATCACAGAAAATCAACACACCAACTAGACCACATACATAGCTCTACACCCAGCTATCATATGGTATTGTTCTATGACCTGTTATTAAGTCATCTTTTTAAAAATTATTTTTTAGTTGTAGTTGAACACAATACCTTTACTTTGTTTATTTTTATGTGGTGCTGAGGATTGAACCCAGGAGCCGGCACATGCTAGGCAAGCGCTCTACCACTGAGCCACAATCCCAGTCCCTTAAGTCATCTTATACAGGATGTCTGGGTGGGAAACACTATTCACTTACTAATAAAACTTCTAAAACCATACGTGAAAGGTGGGAAATCTCCAAGGGGTTTCACTGGTAGTGGGCTTGAGAGATGACCTCTAGCATTAGAGTTACTTTTTATGGAAATAATCTGTCAAGAGGGATAGATCATTTTTCATATTTGCTAATGGAGCTAAAATGCATTGCTAATAAGAATCACAGATATCTAATTTGCTGACTTATCTCAAGGCAGATCAGAAGACATAAAAATTGTCAAAAAAGATAAATATTCTTCAGTCACAGCCAAACTTGATACATAAAATCAAGTCAATGCAAACAAACTTAGAAAACAATGTTGCAAGAAACCCAAGCCCATCCTCCTCTTTGAAAAGAAACCTGCATCTGTCTGAAACATGTTGGATAGAATGTGCAGACACAAGCGTGAATCTACAGAAATCTCAATATCTCAGTCATAGCTGGAGTGATAAAACCATCAAATTTCTAGAATAACCCATCCTACTGGGGCCATGAACTTGCTTCTAGATAAATGCTATTAGGGACCAACTGTTGAGGCAGCACATAGCTTATGAGAAACAGCCCTATTTCCCACTTCCCTGGGGAAGGATTTCTCTGGGCATGATCATTACCTTGGGTGAAGCACATTGTAACACAAAATGCTCAGAACCTTGGATGTGAGAGAGAGAGAAAGAGACTCTGTCCCCAACAGCTGTATACACCCTGAGGAAAGGTTACCTTCTACCAAGTCCACCCATGAAAGACCTGACCTCCCTTCCACTTCCAGGAAGGCCAAACTATTATAAGAAGCAAGGAAGCTCCCACCCTAGCTGGGTGAGACTCCACTGGGGAAAGTTCAGTGAGTGACATCAAGCACTCTCTTAGGATAAAATGTAAAATGGAAGGGCCGGTGAGAACACCATCAGTGCTTTCTTTTAGGCCTCTGGTCCTTTCTTTCTTAGGGCTCTTTCTCCATCCTGAGATGTGTCACTACCTCAAACCAGATGAAAAATATGGCAGATGAGAAGATTCCCAAAGCACACAAAATATGCACATTAATAATATGAAAGCAACACAGAACTCATGCATATATATACCCTCATTGACTAAAAATACTTGGGAAAAATTAGTTATTTGATATATATATATATATATATATATAAACTATTCCACTAGAATCCACAGGGCTTTTTAAAAAATCGTTGTAATATGTAATTTAAGAAGAGAAATAATTCTTTACTTACTAACTTTCAAAATTGAAGATGTATACATAGTTACTTTTATACAGTTTCCAAATTATTGCAATAATTGTCTTCCCACTCATGGGCAATTTGAGAAAAGCAACGATGAATCCTTATAATGCATATATAAGAAACCTTATCCTTCCCAAATCAGTGAGTGTTATTTCCTCAAGCATGTTGCTTATAATTAGCTGGTACTCTGCAAGCTAGGTAAAATCAGCCACGTATACAGCAATTAAAAAATGCCAGCATCTTGCATCATTTCTTTATTACTGATTTTACCCATTTCAAACACTTCAAAGCTTTCAGGTTTCTGGTGCACTAAGATCAATGCCATAAAAGATAGGCAGCCTACATTAATGATGTAAGGTCACTTTAAAAGTTCAGTTTCTTTTTTCCACAGCTTTACTGAAATTTTATACAGATATCAGACATTAGCTACCATCTGCTGACTCCAGCAGTATCACTTAATTATGGAGAGTATGGATATGGAGAGTTACTCTATCAGTTACTCACTTTAGCACTGATTTTTTTTTAAGAAAATCTCACATGATTCCACTGATCTCATTTGCAAAGTATTAAAAACATTTTTATAGTAATGAACTGTATTTGACTTATAAAGTAGTATTTTAAAGAAAATATGAAATTTTCTGTGTTAGAATTTCTATACCATCTGATCATTAGCATTGATCCTATCTTTCTGTCTGCTGAGGAACTTTTTTTCCAAGCAGATCCTTATCCAAAAGCTCTATAGTGAGAAAGTCTGAGGATTCTGGTTTTGCTGCATTTTATCAAAGTATGATGATTGTCCATGTTCTATGTAACAGTCCCAAGAGGCCTGGGACACACACTACAATTGAACAAATTAACATTTCTTCAATAAGACTTGCATGTATTCACCCTATGGGGGATAAATACAGATTTTAAATGTAATTGTATTGTTAAATGTGTTTTCTGCAAACTCATAAAAACCACATTTAGAAATTTTCAGTTTTTTGAACTCAGGATTTAGGAATAAGGGATTTTTGACACTGTATACAAGTTCTGATGAAATGCCAGGACAATGTGGACCTCCTCTGGGTGAAGAGACTATGGGGTATAAATACCTATGGTCTTTATGGCAGCCATAAATACCCTAAAATACCATGTTTTGGCTGGCTGATATTAGCAATGTTTCCTGCCTGGGAGAGCAGAGAAGTAGAGAAGGGGTTGGAGTTAGGCAGGCCGGCAAAGGGGAAGAAAGGCAAAGGGACAGAAAGATGAAAATGAGGAGGAAGAAGTTGGACACCTAGAAACAATGAAAAACGGGTTACTTTCTTAGTGTAATGCACTGTCTCTTAGTAGAGAGGTGCATGAAAATATCAAAGATATTAAGTTGAAGGGGTTTTGCTTTGTAGAGGGTTTGGGGTGCACCTAGAACTGAACAGTGATTTATAGCTCGGTCATTCATTCAAACAGGATTCAATCTTCCACATGATAAAGACTTCTTGTAACTAAGCATTAATCTGACTGACAAGAAACTTGCTTTCCAAGACAATTATATGCTATCTGGCACTGTTCCATTGTTAAACACTGGAGAGATAATTACACTTCTGAAGTTACTAACCTTTGTTGGTCTATTGAAAAGACAGGCTCCACCTCCTCTCTGTAAAAAGTCTCTGTACTCCAAAATGCTGCACTTTGAGAATTTTCGGGAATGGGATACCCTGAGGAAATAATGCATCAGTGATGTAAATAATATACCAAAAACAGTCATCAGAGAAGAAAATCAAGACCCCTAAATGAGAACAAAATGTTCATTCTGAATCCAGATGAATCTACACAAATTTTGACAAGGTACTTATGGTCCCAATTATAAAATAAATGTGTGAGTTTGTAAAAAATATAAATGCAAAGAAAATCACAGAACTGGGGACAAGGTCACAACCTCCTTAGCTTTCAAGGCCTCTTGTGACCTTGCTTGAAGCATTTTTTTTTAAAAGTTCACTACAAAACCTTTCATCTAGGCTGCATTTTAAAGTGTGGTCATTTTATTTGCTATGTCTCAATAAAGACATTCTTTTGACTGTGCCTTGAATAAAAGGAGCTCATAAGCCTATAAGACTCAATTCTGGAGAAAGGAGTTGGGAGGGTATATTTCTTTAAAGACTACAATTCAGCCTTCAACAAAGTGACTCAGGTAAACCAGAAAACTGTACAGAGATGTGCTGGACCATACACCTACGTGTACATATGCTTTTAGTGTGTGTATATACACAGGAAAAACAGAATTAGGATAGTTCCCATAAATAACAGCTCCTCATTCTCAATTTCAAATATTATTGGGTGATAGGAAAAAAATTCACAGGAATATAAAATGAGCCTTTCTGTGATTTACTTAATCAAATTAATACCTCTATGTGTGTCAGCACACAGGGAATATTATATGCTTTAAATGTATATTAATATGTAATGTGTGTGTGTGTGTGTGTGTGTGTGTGTGTGTGTGTGTATATATATATATATATATATGCCATTATATGATCAAGGTTAAGGTGAATCATACATACTGATTTCTCAGAAATTGATTTGAGAGTGACAGTCTACTTACTCCAGGATTTAATACAATAGTATATGAGAGATGAGGGTTATTTATGGAAGTAAATAAAACCTGTCACCGTTGACAGTGATATCTTACAAAAACAATATACTTGAGAAAAAATACATTAGCCTTAAATAGTTTTATTATATTCCATGAGTAATCGGCTCAAAAATTCATTTAGAAATTAGAAATTGAAAAAGAAAAAAAACATCTCCTTGTAAAACCAATATTAAAAATAGCGCTGCCTTCCTACAACGGTCCTCAGAAATGCCTGTATACCTTTAAATTATTAAATTGTGGAACAAGAGTAATGCAACAATGGAAGCTATGAGTTTTGAATATAAACTTCACTTCTAGGAATATGCTGTAAAGTTGCAAGGATGATGGGGCCTGACTGTGTAAACCTCTCTGCCCAAGAATTGGACTCCTGGAAGGGTATGGTAGAATAAAGAAGGGGCCTGCACAGGTGGGTAGGGGCTTCTGGTAATAAGACGCAGTTGGAAGGAGCACCAAGGTCCTGCCAAATGTGTTGGGCAGGTGTCCAGTAGGAGAGGGGCTTAAATAAGGAAACCTCTCCCCTCTACTAGGAGTGGGCTATAGCTTAGGAGGCCTCAGGGCAGTGGCCTGCATGGGGCACAGGTCCCTGGGAAAGAGCCGTGTTTCAGAGCCTGGATTCATTGACTCAACAGTAGCTATGGGGCAACTGCTCTAGTTTCTAAAGTATCCTCAAGAGAAAAGAGAGGACAGGTGAGTGAATGTTAAAAAAATTTACCACTAGTATTTGACACAATAAATCTGAGAAGAAAAAAAAAGCTTCATTATAGTACAATTTTTACTAGTGTAAGCATATATATTTATAATTCCTTAAAAGGTAAATTGATGCCTAAATTGATTTTCATTGACTGCATCAGGTACCATTTTTTATTCCCATGTACTAAAAAATGAATGTCTCCCCTAAACTTAGAAGCATATAGAAATGTGCTTCCTTAATAAGAAGCAGAGTAGCTAATACATTTTACTTTTATCACAAAACTTAAATTAAAAATTAAAATATAAAGTGAATTAGTACTGACCACTTTAAAATATCAGAGATTTAATTATTGAATTTACACTAACTGTTTAGCCTAAAAGACCAGTAACTGAGAGAGTGTGTCTCTGATTACATGTAGCAATTTTAGCAAAAGGCCTATGTCAAATGCACGTGTAAAAACTTACCCTGTTTCCTCCATGATGCAGCCACCCCAGGATTCTGTGCAGTCACATTCTAGTCCAATGGAACAGGAAAAAGGGAAACAACAAAGTCACATCTTTAATTTGTATTACAGTGCCTACATAATCCTTCATTACCAATTCCATGTCAATAGATTGAGAATGGGTAGGTAGTCTCAGGAAAAAATTTTATTTCACTTAAGCAATATTTCCTTATCCTTTCCAGAAGCACAGGTTGCTGCCTAAGATAATACCTGGCAGGAAATAAAACTATGCATCTCTTTATTTTTCTAACTTGGACAACTCAATTAGGTTCCTAGTTCCAATGTATAGTGAGAACGTACCCTAAGGGCTCTAGAGACTGGAAAGCCTGAGATCTAGCGTAAGTTCCACCACATGAGAGGGTCCCATAGGCAGGTGACTTAGTCATTCTTGGGTCTCAGCATTTCCACTTCTAAAATGGGAATTATGTCTTTATCAGACTGATTCTGGGGTTCACAGAGATTGTGCGCTGTGTGCTCTCCATGAACACAATGAATTAGCACTGAAGTGCTTCTAACAAAGTCACACTGGTGATTAGAGCAGGGAATTTGATTTGCTTGAGTCAAAGCCAGGATTGGTCAGAGACTTGAGGAACACTGTGCTAAAAGGTCTGGCGGAAGAGATCAGTCTAAACAGACACGCACATAATCACTTAAATACCAATCATAAGTTTAATATACATATCAGAAACCCACATGCTGGTACTAAAATGGGCTCTTCCTTTCATTTATTTTTTTTCTATTCTCTTTTCTATCGTGATGATATTTTTAAAGAAAGACTTCCAAATGGATTTTTTTTTTTTTAACTCAAAGCTTAGAACTCAGGAACCAGCTACCTAAACAAACATTTTTCACGAAAGAATACAGAACTGTAGACAGGAAGGAGCATGGTGGATGTTAGGAATGAACCCCTTCCTTGGCCTGTCCACCCCTGTAATACTTCTCAGCTGACCCCGACACCAACCTCGAGGATTTTAAACAAGGCCATAAATCTAGTTATACACCTTTCTGGTTTTAAGGTCTCCATGACAGCTCATGAAATTCTAAACATCCCTTTAATGTGGAATGAGTGTTTCTTTGGAGAAGCAAATACTTTGAGCAAGATATTAGAAAGTTCATGGGGATTTGCAAAATGCCTCCAGACAGCTGTGATGACCATGTACTTGATATTTAAGATACCTATCAAAGGATTCAGTAAGCACATAGGTATATATATTTTGTTTCATTTTTTCATACTATTAGGCATTAATGACCAAAAAAGTATAAAATGTAATATAATGCTACAGTAGATTTTCCCTTTTCTTTTTTTTTTTTTTTTTTTTTTGTGGAGGGAGATTGGGGTGGAAGGAAGACCTCTTATTCCTGGTATCTCATATTTACCCAGAGGAGCGGGGATTCCACTTAATTTCTAGTTAATGATGTTTGTGGGCCATAGGTACTTGCCTTCTGCCACCAAAAAAAAAGTATTAAAATTATATTTTACTATTTTGTTGGTAGAAAAAAGAATATAATTCAGGTTGGGCTTTATTATAATTTTAAAAGACATTAGACATTTTCCCGAGCCTTTAAAATGATGACGGGTCATAGACACTTAGCTCACTGGGTAAGTCAGCCCTGTCTTTCTGTCTTGCATCTGATTGGTGAAGAAAGTAGTGCCTAACATCTTGGTTTTTTAATTGAAAGGATCTGAGACCCTGTATGGACTCTATCTTGGACCTGCCTGCCCAACAGAGAGAATTCTGTTCTATCTCACCTGCTCCAAGCTTAAAAGGCCTGAGACAGGCTTTTGTCTAGGGGAGCCTTTTTTCTCTGACTTTTCTGATGTGACTAGGTAGGTAAGTTTATTTCAAGTTTAAATGTGAGATCCTTTTTAACTCTAGATGTAAGCTATTTCCCAATCTAACTATACTACTACCAATCTGGTGATGGATTTTTATCGAGCATCTTGTGTCCATACTCAGCTGGTTAGAACTCAGAATGGGAGTATCCATCACTCCTAATTGTAACGATTCTGCAATGTGAAAAAGAGCCAACTCAAGTCCTGAGCAACTGAGTATGATTTACGGATTATTAAGAGGAAATTTCTATAACCCAAATGTATTAAGAATTATCTTTTTTAAATTATTTTAAAATTTATTTATTTATTCTAATTAGGTATATATGACAGCAGAATGCATTTTGATTCGTTGTACACAAATGGAACACAACTTTTCATTTCTCTGGTTGTACATGAAGTAGCACTGTACCATATGTGCAGTCATTCATGTATCTAGGGTAATGATGTCCATCTCATTCCACCGTCTTTCCTGCCCCCATGGTTCCTCCCCTCCCCTTCCTCCACCATATTTAGTTGCAGTAGTGTCCATCTTGGTACACCAGCTGGGGACTAGATTAAGAATTATCTTAAGTTGCTTGTTTTAAAACTTATAATGGCTTCAGAATGAAAAATATGTATTGCCCAGACATGCATTATACAGAAGAATGGCCCACAAAAGTGAGTGAGAAGGTCAATGTACATACTTGGCTTTCTGCTAGAAGGTTCCCATTGGATTCCAAGGTTTTGAGCCAGGCTCTGTGATAATACTTGTGCCACTGCCATTGGAAGACCATACTGTTTTTCAGAGTTGAAAGTGTGTGGGAAACATTTGAGAGAGTGCACAAAGCTAGTTATTATTTCTTAATTGTTACCACATATCATCTCAACTCCCTATGCAGAACCTCACAACATCTAAAGATGGCCTATGCTCCCTCTCACTTCTTCCCTGCAACTAGGCCCAAGAAGCAAAAGGCCCCTTCCTCCTAAGCAGGAACTCTCAGGGCATTCAAAACAAGCTCTATCATGGAAATATAATGACAAGTCCCAAAAAACTAGTCTCTGACTCAGCCCATATCAAGCCAAGAATAAATTCAACTTAGTACAACTATGTTGCGAGAGGCCCCCACTAAATGATGGCTATTGGGATAACGGGGTAAAACATATTCTAGTACTGATGAGAATTTAGATATAGTTGGTCACGCTTTTTGAGGTACTTTGGCCAACTAAGAATCTTCTTTATAAAAATAAAGGGATCAAAATACAAACAATGATATTAAGAAAATATTTGTTTTGATTCATTCTACAGATTGGAAGGTAGAAGGCATAAAGATGAATAAATATGCATAGGGAGAAAAAAAAACCCACAATACTATTGTAAATACTTTGATTTCAATGAATTAAATCTAACATGGACAGAAGAGCACACTGTAACTTTAAAAATTATAAGAAAAGGATTAAAAAGCTTATAAAAATTTAACATCTTCTCTATAGACACCTAAAACCTCCCAAGCTGGTTTTCATATAAGTATGATAAGTATGCAAAATTATGATTATCATACCTCAAGGATATCATCATGAATCCTACCGTCTATTTTGGATTAATCTAAGCCACTCATGCCACGGTCTCAACACCAGAATTTAAAACAAGCATGAGAAGGAATGTAAACTGGCCCTAAAGAAGAAAGTGAGCATATGCAAAGAAAAATTTTTGCTTAAGGAAAACTGACAAAATTTACCTCGTTCACACCAACCCCTCTTGTGCGAGAACAGACACCTCCGAAGTAACTCAGACTGCTTCTCTTATAGTGGAATGTCACGCGCCTTAAGGGAAAAAATGCTGTTAGAAGACCAATGTAATGACTCCCATATAATGGCTCCCTAAACTTGTCTGCTCTCCTACACTGAACACCCCAAAACCATCCTCCTTAGGGAATAAAAACGGTATTTTAAATACACTTTAAATTTATGATGCCAAAATACCTTTATAATGTATAAAACAATCTCAGTTCAGCCAGCATTAACTGAGCACCAAGCAAGCATCAAGTACCAGCACAGGAATTAAAGATACAGAGATTAACAGACCACAGCTCTGGATCCTTTTCTAGAAGAGAGTATCTAGTAGTTCTACAGAATATTACTGATCATTATAAATTGATAATTAAAGACTGAAAGAAAAGAAAGTAAAGGGTGAAGATGGGGGGAATGAGGAGTACACTGGTTGGTCTGATTCTAGGAAGAATGTTAGAAGACTGTCTTCACTATAAGCAGGGAAGGTAACAGCTTGTTACAGGAAGGAAGAAAGCATAGTACTCCTCCTCCTTGGTGAGGAAACTCAATTATATTATTTGGTGGTTCATCAAAGACCATTTTTCCTAGCCTTCTTTGGCCATGTGACTAAGATCTAGCAAAAGATTTGCTGGTGAAATTGATGCATGCAAACTTTCAGGAAATGTCCTTTACAAAAGTTGACTCAACTGCCCGTAAGGAAGGCTGGAGCACCAGCAGCCATCTTGGGTTGCGACTTGACCTTGAGGATGGAAGTTATATGCTCTGAAGGTAGAGCTTATGGCCATGGAACCAGCACTGGGATCCCAGTACTGGGATCCTACCTCTATGCTTCCTAGATAATGGAGAGAGGCACCAACAGCAGTCCTGTTCAAGTCACTATTTTCTGATACATAATTTAACTGACACCACAAAGGAATAAAGACTATAACAGAAGCCTAAACAGGTACATACGAGATGAGGTGCACAGCGTCAGCATGCTGCTTGATACGCTGCCGGTATTTGGAGAATTCATGGAGCATCTGCACAGGATTGGTGGTGATGTCAATATGATCCTTCTCAGTCCAGGTCTCTACGGCCACCAGGACAACCCTGGTATTGAGCTGCTCCTTGTAAATCTAAGGGTAGACAACAGGACAGGTGCAGGAGGAAAACACTGGGTCAAACATGCACGATCAGTGAGTCAGAGTCAGCGGAAGGACAGGAAGGGGGAGGTGAGAGAACACGGGGTCAGAATTAGCTCATCACAGAGAAACTGCTTTTCCTTTCTCTTTCCCAAGAGCAAAAGGAAAGAAAGAATAACTATATAAGTCAGTCCCACATCACCTTATCTCATATAAGGTTATTTCCACCCGATCTGTACATTTGGTGGCCTCACATTTCACGAGGGTATAGAGTCAGGTGTAGGGATGTCAAGATTCTAAAGTCAGGACATAAATTGAGAACAGGGTTCATAAAAATCTCCTTTCAAACCTCGTAGGAGGCAACAGGCTGAGTGTGACGGAGTGACTCTAAGTGTAATATAACCAGTTACTCCTGCAGGATTGGAACACGCCAACAAACAGTGGCTGGCTTGTCCTTGGAGCCATGTTATATGAAAAGTAAAATAATACAGGGAAGCAATCACAGAGCTGAGATCAGAAGAGGAAAAGATCAGATTTATATCAGCCACCTCATCCTTGCCACAGGGAGGATCACTCCCAATATTTACACTGTCACCCTTCTCCTCTGTTTCTCTACATTTGGCCCCCAAACGGAATAACTCACACAATTAAGCAACTTCAGTGAGTGCTTCCATTTTGTCTTATTTGCCAACAAATTAAGAAAACAACGGGTGATCTGTGAACACACTGAAGGGGACCATCATGATGCCATTGTCAAATTGAAGCTATCACGACTCTACACAAAACTGAGTTAAGCGTAATGTCTTTTAAAAATTAGTGATCAGCTCCAGAACCTTATATGGCAATGACACTTTGCAAGATGTGACTCTGTTCAGTCATGCTGAGATGACTAACAAAGACGTGCTACCAAGTAAACAGCTTTTTCAGGGAAAATGATGTGTTTATGATTCTCTTTTTCATTTTCACTTAACAACTTTCCTCTAAGAAGATTGACAAGACCTGAAATTAAAATTAATCGACCAGGTGTACACTGGCTCTCAGAGGTTCAAGCTTAACTTTATATTATACATTCTATGCACATCCATTCATATTATTCATTTCCTCAGTGGCCACCAGGCACATAACATAAGCTAGGTATGCATAATGTATGTTATGAGAATTCATATGGCTAGAGGTTCTTAGTTTGTTTAAAAGGCAGAAAAGAAGGCAGCTCCTTAGAGTCAATAAATATCACTTAGATGCTCAGCAAGTTATAAAAGATTTTTTTCACTATTAAGAAGGAACATACAATAAATATCAGATAAAAATGCATTTAGCTGAACAAAATAGCATTTTGCATTACAATATAGAAAGTAGCATGCTGTATTTAATGTATGCTAGTCAAATTGAATTATTCATTGGAACAGAATGCTTAATATCCAGCTCTACAGAGTTCCTACCCAAAGCAGAAAAAGGAAGAAAATCTTAACAATCATTCTTTGTAACATAAAATGGGGCGGGTAGGGAGGGGAACATATCAATAGTAAAGATTTAAAGAATTAGAAGCCTTTCAAGGAAAAAATATACATATATATATATATTTTCAAATTAGTTTTATTTGAGGCTTGCACCTAATTCTGTCATCTAGAAATAAAGTCTGAAACATTTCACTAATGAGAATACTAAGGTAATAAATTTGTTCCCTTTAAAATTCTTTTTCTATTATCTATATTTTCCAAACACACTCTGCCTCAATCTATTAGTTCTTCTTTTCTAACGCCACATATTCTAGAAAAGCTCCACCTATTATTAACAAAGTTCTACTTGTCAGTATAATTTTTACTCCTTAGGGTAGCTAATTTTATCCATTGTTTTTTGTCCCTTATAGACTCTGGTGATACTAAGGTTTAGATATTGCTTAGAAGCAAGACTGTACATTTATTACATGCTAAAGAAAAAAAAGTTACATGTTTAAGGAGATAGAAATGCTAACTACCCTGATTTGACCATTGCACATTGTAAACATGTAGCATATTATAACACTGCACCATAAATACACACAATTTGAATAATAATGAATAAAAATAAGTAAATAGAGGTTTAAAGGAAGCAATGCTAGTGCAGCTTTGGAATTCTGAGAATACTCAGTAACTCCCTGAAACTCTGAAAACACTACTGCTTCTGAAGCAGACTACCCTAAAATTTCTCAGCAGACAAACTTAATGATTGCATTTTTACTTTTGCCCAGGAAATAGCTAAGAAAACAAGTCAGAAAACAGAGATAGAGATATAAACTGTGCCATCTCCATTAAAATAGGTTTAAGAAAACTGAGTACTTACAGAATCCACAAGGTTGACCACAGATTTTGCAAAGTTGTTGGTATGTGCATGAGAAGAACGATGCTTCTTATACTGGGGGGGGGGGGGAAGAAGATGACCAAATCAGTCACTGCCAAATTATAATTTGATGATAGATTTCAAAATTCCATAAAAGCAGAAATGTCTTAACAATAGTAAAAATGAGGATCAAAAATACAAAATTTGGTTTGTGCCATGTTGAATACGGTGGCGCTCGCTCTCTCTCTCTCTCTCTCTCTCTCTCTCTCTGTGTGTGTGTGTGTGTGTGTGTGTGTGTGTGTGTGTGTGTGTGTGTGTGTTAGGCAATAAAACTCTAAAACACCCACCAGGCTATTCTAGGTGATGAAAAGGTGTGAGAAGCTTTATCCCTGAGAGTAGATTTTTAACTGTCTTAATGTCTACCAATTCAACCCTTTGTTTTCATTGAAATGACATTTCACAGTTTATAAAGGGCATAGACCAAAATATTTAGTCTTCATTGGTCATTTCCCTCACCTAACACTCAAGGCCACACATGAATCAAGAAAATTCCTCATGCAGCACCTCAGACAGTGCCCATGACATGGAAAGCAGGATCCCTACAGGAAATGTTACCTCCAAAGGAAACCTTCACCTCTGAGAGCTTGCAGTCACACAAGAGGAGACATAAAAGTAAAGTGCACTGATGGCCGTTTACGATTATCAAAGTAAATAAAGAAAAGCAAATTAATAGAATCATTCTACAACAACATCAGGAGGGCTATGCTTTTAGCCAGGAGTAGTGCACTTTGCTGAACAGGTCATTAAGAGGACACTGGAAAGCTGAGGTCTGCCTTGGGAAAACCATGCCCTCTACTGGTCCATGAGGCCATCATAACTTATAATTTTGTGGGGGGTGGGGGGATACATATATTTAATACATATTTTTTTAACATATATACATATGTTGCACATATACTTAAAAACTCCAATTCAGATTTGTACCACAAGTCTTTTAAACCTGTCTTCAATTATAATGATGAAAATAATGTGTCTTTCATAAAGATTTAAAATATTTTCACATTGGGAAATCATGATATTCTTTTTTCTCCTTTACCCTACAGATTTGCCAGACCCCCTTGATTTCTTTCTCTTTCAACTCCTGTGACTATGGTTTTGAAACAATAACAACCATAAAAAGGTATGGCTAAGTGTTTTAAAATTAAATCTGATGCCTATTTTTAGAACACTGGGAACACAGAGGCTGCATGATAAATGTGTAATAAGTTGATTCATATATTGCTATAGGTAGCGTTAATTAATTCATAACTACCGGTATAATATTGCTACTATTGTTCATGTTATTACTACCACTGTGGATCACAATTGGGCCCAAATTGTCTCATTGCATTCTTTTAAAAATAAGTTTCAATGTATGCACATAAGTGGGTAATAAAATATCACATTCATCTAAAATTTTTCAAACATCTTAGCAGATTTAAACTTCAAATTTTATAAAGAAATTTTTATAAATAGCTTGCCATTTTAAGTTGCCTAGCAGATTCTACAAGCTGAAATTTTTCAAAAAATACCTTTTAAGAGTAAAAGGAAAAGTCTCTCAAAGTTCCTTTGAGATGATGAAAATGTGTTAGAACTACACAGAGTGATGATTACACACAATGTGAAGTTACTAAAAGCTAATGAATTGCAGACTTCAAAAAATCTTGAGGCTAAATAGCATATGTCATGTAAAGAACAGAAAAATATTAGGTGACACCTATTTTAAAGCAGTGGTGTTACATACCTGTTAAAAAGAATTTTATCTTGCTCTGAATATGTAAATGTATCCATTTTAGAGATATCTTTTTCATAGCATAATGGTCATAGAAAACATGACTTGCAAGTTTAAAACACTACTAAGGTGTGTGGGTATGTGTGTGTGTGTGTGTGTGTGTGTGTATATATATATATATATATATATATATATATAATTTATTTATTTTTATGTAGTGCTGAGGATCGAACCCAGGGCCTTGCATGTGCTAGGTGAGCTCTCTACAGCTGAGCCACAACTCCAGTCCCAATAAGGTCTTTTTAAAATCTATCAAACACCATGTTTTTTCCATTTATTTCTTATTTGTAATTTTTCAAGTTTCTAGTTTTATTTTGAGAAAGATCACTCAACCTGCTGTGTGATGAGTGAATTAGAGAAGATCAAGAATGGAAGCAGACGGAGCTTTGGAGAAATGGTCCCCTTTTCACCTGCAATCGTCCATATAAAAAGTAATGAAAGCAGACAGCAGCAGAGAGAAGTAGATGACCTTGAGAAGCATTATGAAGGTAGAAATGCCAAGACCTGCAGGTCCAAAGGATGTAGAAGGTGAGTCAGGACAGGAAGAAAAGGTGGCACAGGCTGTGAACCTGAATAGATGGGAAACTGTGATAGCAAACACCTAGGTGAATCCCACCACTGTGTCCCCACCCACAAGAAGGGGTTCCTAATTAGAATAAGACATTACCTATATAATTTTATCAAAATGAATTCTATTGTCATGCATAACTAAGAAGAACCAATTTAAAAGGTTTTTGTTTGTTTGTTTGTTTGTTTTTTGGGGTTTTTTTTTAGACAATGAAAGTAGGAAAGAGAAGTTTAGGATTAGGAAACTAGTCTTTGTTCTGTGGTCCGACTAAATGCCTGAGTTGATGTAGAGAGAAGAAAGACTTCCTGAGCACGTGGTTCCTGCACCTGTCCGTCATCTGGTGAGGGCCTTGTTGCTACATCATAACGACAGAGGACACCACATGGTGAGAGAGTAAGCACACCAGCTCCTGTCCCTTTACCCCATCTTAGGAAGCCACTAATGCCATTGGGGGAGGGGGCAGCCCTCATGACTTCACTTAGCCACTAACTGCTTCCCAAAGGCCCTACCTCCAAATACCACTGACGCGTGAATATTGGGATTAAGTTTTTGACACTGGAATTTGCAGTGGACACATATAAACCCTTCAGGTTCTGGTTGAGAGGTGTTAGATGGGCGATGCCTACTCAATATTGAAGTACAAATGTCAAGCAGGCAGTTGGATGCAGGAGCATGGAATTCAGAAGGCTAGAAACATAGAGAGTTAAGAATTTAAAGTCATGATACTATTTAAAGCCTTGAGGCTAGAAGTTATCACTCTGGAAGTAGGGAATGGGAGCTCTGAACCTAGCCTTGGGGCACTCCCATGATTCTAGGAGTCAGATTTAAAAGAAATGGCCACTGAGGTAGAAGAGCTGTCATGTCATAGACGACAAGAGAGGAAGAAAATGTTTCAATAAAAGAGAGCAATTTTGTCTAATGTTGCTGAGGGAGTAAAATAAAGATAGAACAGTGACCACTAGATTTATTAACCCGAAGCACTACTTAATTGAGCACCTAGAATTGATTAGGAACTATGATAAGAGTTTCTCCTACAACCATTATTTGCTCCTCAAAACTCTACAAAAGGGGGCTGAAGTTGTGGCTCAGTGGTAGAACACTCGCCTAGCACGTGCGAGGCCCTGGGTTCGATCCTCAGTACCACATATAAATAAATAAATAAATAAAGGTATTGTGTCCAACTACAACTAAAAAAAAAAATTTTAAATAAATTTTAAAAAAACTCTATGAAAGTAATTTTATTATCCCCAAATAACTCATCTAAGACCACATGGTTGAAATTCAAAGCCTACTCCAGGTTAAGACAGGAGATAAACTTGTTCAGTTAACAATTATTTTTAAATAGTTCATATATATTCCCAACAAATCATAATTACTGATGAGAATTTGTAATTTTTAGGTGCATGTAAATTATGGTGCTTTTAAAGTAGGGAAAACTAAATGAGGTATACATTAAAAAATATTTGAATTATCATCACCCATTTGCACTTATTGGCTCCCACTTAAGAATATAGCAAAAAAAAAAAAAAATGGAAGCAAAACACTTGATTTTCATGCACTTTAAAGTAACTCAACCAATTTTCTCTTAGAATAGGGTTTGTAATATTTAGTTTTAGTTTAAGTGGTTCAAAGAGATGTTTATAGACTCTTATCAAAGCTGTAATTGGCACAAATTAGGTTCCGCCATCCAGGTACTAAGATGCTTTCTACGAAATTGATGGATTTTTCTTTCTAATTGAAAGCCTCTGATAGCGTGATGCCTGCTCCAAATAAGATATGTACATTTTTCAGGCAGTCAATATTAGGTTACTGTGAATTAGAGGTAAGCTTGAATGCAAATATAGGCAAAATGTTTCTATTTCCTGCATGAATGAGAACTAATTTCGCAAATAAAGAAAAATGTTCAGTCTCCTATTATGATAAAATGTACCTTCACGTTTTCAGATCACTGAAAACAATTTACATTTAAACTGGTAAATTTGCTTTTACTTCCTGAACAAATGAAACCTTAAGAGATTTGCCTTTTGAAAAAAATTTAAATTCGAACTTATTTTCAACCCTAAGGTAAGAGTTATCAGGTAACTGCTGCCTCACACAGTAAACATTGAAAGATGAGTGTTTTCCGTGGGATGATTATTCTAAATCCCAATGGCAAATCTCTAGACATTAAAAAATAGATGGAACAGATATTCTGCTTCAATTTCACTTTCAACATGGGAATTTAAGTACTCCAATCCATGTTTTTTAATTTACTACCTCTTTGTGGCAATCATATTTAAAAACTATTTTCACCTCAAAAAAGGATCTTTTTCTAAAAAGAAAAATATTTTTATAAAATGACACACTCATTTGGGACTATCAAACGTAGAATTACAGTAGAATGTAATGTTCTTGAAGAAAAAGAATAATATTTAGTTTTGTTATTCTAGAAGAATATTTTTTCTATTTCTTTAAAGAATAGAAAACATCTTAAGTAATTTCTTTCTACCTCAGGCATTATTTCCACCCCAAACCAGAAGCTTTGAAAAAAAAAATTAACATGTATTTCTTCTATATATCAGTTCACATTACAGTTCTTTATTTCTAGTTTTAAAAACAGATAAACAGAGGCTAGGGTTGTGGCTCAGTGGCAGAGTGCTCGCCTAGCATGTGTAAGTCCCTGGGTTCGATCTTCAGCGCCACATAAAAGTAACTATAACAAAGGTATTGTGTCCATTTACAACTAAGAAAATATTTTTAGAAAATATTCATGAAAATATTCAATTTTCAGCTTTTACCCTTTTAATAATAATTAAAATAAGATGAATTACCAATATTTATTGGTAAAAATTTGAATTTTGAACAAAAAAAGTGATAGCCATAAAAGGTAACTTTATCACAGAATATACAATATACTCTACAGAAGTTTCCTATGTATAAAGCAACATTTTAAGAAGAGTGCTATTTCATTACATGTAAGATAAAGATAAGATTATATAGGGGCTGGGGTTGTGATTCAGTGGTAGAGTGCTCGCCTAGCATGTGCAAAGCACTAGGTTCTCTCTTCAGCATCACATATAATTAAATAAAATAAAGGTATTGGGTCCAACTAAAAAAATATAAATAAAAAGATAAGAGTATACAAATGTTCAACATTTTAAAAGATGAAAAAAATAAATTCAGGGCAGCTAGGGGCATAGCTCAGTGGTGTAGTGCAACTGAGGGCATGCACTAGGTTCAGGGATCAATTCCCAGCACCTCAAAAACTAAATGAATAAATTTAATATATACAATATCTAAATTTTTTTTTAAGTTTTCTATGTTGTAGAGTTACTGAAAGCTACTCTCTGATTGACAGAAGCTACTCTATGTACTTTTTTACATAGTATGGTAGAAGAAGAGATTTGGAATTGCAAGTCAAGGTTTGAGAACTGATTACATAGATTATTGATTATTTAGGAATGTACTTTGTATAATAAAAGGAATTACATACATTTTAATTATTATATACACTGCTTTAAAAGTATTTGCATAATGGAGCTTTAGGGAAAACTTAGGCTTTTTGTTGGCAGGTGGAAAGTAGCAGAAGATTGAGCTACATCCCCAGCTACCCTTTTATTTTTTATTTTGACACAGGTTCTTGCTGTTTAGTAAATGGTAGTTTAGGCTCTCACTAAATTACTGAGGCTGGCCTTGAACTTTTGATTCTCCTGCCTCAGTCTCCAGAGTCACTAAAATTATAGGCATGCACTACTGTGGCTGGCAAGCGTAGGCTTCTAAAGCCATAAGTTCAAAAAACATGACACAGTGCTCAGATTTGAGAAGTTGCTGGGAAAAAAATCTCAATATTCCAATCAATAAAAATAATCAGATGAGAAGATTACCTTGTTAAGGTCCTACAGAAGCTCATATTTTAGTCTCTATTACCTGAAATCACTGCCTACATATCTGGTTTTCCTTCTCACCAGGGAATTGTATGTAAGTCTGATAAATTCTGATTCTCTTTTTTTTTTAATTTTTTTAAGTTGCTGATGGACCTTTATTTTATTTATTTGTATGTGGTGCTAAGAATTGAACCCAGTTCCTCATGCATGCTAGGCAAGTGCTCTACCACTGAGCCACAATCCCAGGCCCAAATTCTGCTTCTTAACTGTCATATCTCAAGCAATGTATTTAAAGCCTACTGGCATAGAAAATAAATCCACATACAAAACTAAGAGAAATTCTATGGAAAACTTCATATTCAATACAACTGAATTGTTATTTGATAATTAATTTAAACATCCATTAAATAGGAGACCCAAAAGTTTAAATATAAGTCATTTTTTAAAAATACAAGCTTTAAGAAGTTCTCAAGTAGGGTCTACTAACTGGAACTTCAAGTTGTCACTTTAGCGAGAAACAACATTATCATCTAATCTACCAATCTAACACTGGTTTTAGTTAGAGTAAAATAAAGACTTAAAGATATGTGCAAAGCAATCTGAATTTCTGTTCCTACCTTTTACAAGGTTTTTACCCATATCTGACTTTCAAACATTTTTAAAAAGATTCTCATCTTTATAAAGTCTTTCCATAAAGGCAACTTCATTTTCATAAAAACAAGTACTCTTAACATATGCAGTTTTTAGAATTAAATTACGTAACGATGACAGAAATAACAGTGGCCTAAACAGTTAGGGGAGTGTGGAGTAGTGCTGACGCCAGCGCCCAGCAACACACAAGAGCCACCTGGACCCAACCTCTCCCAGCTCCCTTCAATTAATGGTCTCACCTTGGTAGCCTGAAATCAACCAAAGTCTGACTATTTATTTACATTATGGAGATCAGCCAATGTAATCTAAATCAGTGCTTTTTGCCCGAGAACTGGGTGTTACAGTTTATCACATACCACTAGTACTGGACATAGCACCCTAGAGGGTCTTCCACCCAGGCATTTTATCAAGGAAATGGTTAGGTAGAGTACAGTTAAGAGTTTTGACTTCAATTTGAAGAGAGGTAAATGGAGAGTGATGGTTGTTTCTCATATTTCCTTTAAGTGTTACTGAAATGACACATCCAAAGATACTGTACTTCCACAGAGCCAACAACAGAGATTATTCAGCTTTCCATTGTTCAGTGAAATAATTCATTGGTTCAGATAATCTCTTTAGATAGACCTCTATTACACTTGCTTATTTATTACATTTATTCACAAATAATAAACTAAAAAAAAACACATTAGCAGAACAAAGGCAAGAAATAGAATAGAAAGCAGTGTTCAAAGGCATAGATGAAGTAGGAAATGAGACTTTTTTTTTTTTTTTTGGTACCAGAGATTGAACTCAGGAGCATTCAACCACTGAGCCACATCTCCAGCCCTATTTTGTATTTTATTTAGAGACAGAGTCTCACTGAGTTGCTTAGTTCCTTGCTTTTACTGAGGCTGGCTTTGAACTCACCATCCTCCTGCCTCAGCCTCCCTAGCCACTGGGATTATAGGTTTGCACCACCACGCCCAGCAAGAAGGAGACTTTTTAATAAAGTCAAGTGAAAGATGTCAAATAGCTAAATCTATCCATTATAATCACTATTAAATAGAGGAAAAGTTTAGAGTTGTGAAAATTCTATAAAACCCAGTCAGTGTCTCCAAATACCAAGAAATCAAGTCTTTTAATGCTCCAAAAAAGTAAAATGTCTAAATATCTTGGTTTTAATACTTAACAATGTTCTCAGTCTCAAGTAAGCTATTGGGTATAAAACTTGATGATTCTGTATTCTTACCGTTTTGTGATCATTAACTATCATAAGCTCCAAATATTTCATTTCTTCAAATACACCACGAGAGGGCTGTTAAAAATAAAAATATTTGATAAGAATAGTGATTGACACAAAATTTCTCTAATGCTCAGTTGTAGAGAACTCTATCAGAAATCTGGAAATTGGTCAAGGAAAAAAATTTTTATAGGTGACTATAAAATTGTTAAACACTCCAGTATTCAGAAAGGAACCATATTTCACTGTCTCTCCTTATCATGAGCCCATTTTAGTTTTAGATGGCTTTAAATACAAAATTATTCCATACAATAATGTATAGCACAATTATATCAAAATTAGTAAATTATCAATTTCTTTGGCATTAAAATGTAATCAAAAATATTCAATCTACTTAAAGTGTCAAAGAGAATCTACTTAAAATTCATTTCATATGGATAACAAATTATAATTACCTCCCAGAACATCTGAAACAGTATCTATTTAGATAAACAGAAACATTAGCTTCTCTGGAGTGCAATTCTAATAATAATGTACCAGTTCTGAATGCACAACTTCTGGAAGGAACAAACATTGAAAATCATTGTATTCTAAATTCTTCTAAATTTTAATTATTGCCAGAAAATCTTTTAAGAGTAAGCCCTCATTTAGACTTATTTATTTTTCATACACAGTCATTGATCAATTAAGTGGTAGACCATAGGGAAAGCAAAGCCTATATAAAATGCTACTGCCAACAGCCTCTTCGAGAGTAACTACAAAGAAATTTCTAAGAATAAAAAGTGTGTATATATAATCACCATAATACCAACACAGGTTCATAAAAGAAAGGCTTTAACCTTGAACTAAGTTTTTGAGGGCTGGTGGTCTAATTTTTTCACAAAAAAATTTCATTCAGGAAAACGTTATCTAAAATGTGCAATTTTCACTATAATTACCCATTAAGTTATCTAGTAAATTACCATGCAATCTATAAGCTGTGGAATTAATTCTCGGTTACATGGCACCCACCATGTAATTACTAAACAGTCCCCGTCATTATGGCTTTCTAAGCTATTATGAAAAAGACGAGGAACATAATTTCAGATACAAAACCCCTCTATATTTATCAATATGTGTGAGGTATACAATAGTTGTTCATCATGTAATTATTTAGTAACTGTCTTATCACTAGTGTTCAAATAGATTCATTCCATTCTTTTCTGAAAAAACACATCCAGCTTCAAAGTTTGGTATAACTAAGTTCTTAATTTGTAGAAATACATATAAACATAATTAGACAATGTTTCAAAACCTAACTCTTTCTGCATTTTTGTTGACAAAAATGTTTTATGTGATGCTATATAAGCCATATCACCTCCAGCCCAACCTGCAAGAAATCCTCCTGTACCTTCAACAACAACAACAAAAATACTATGATTTTCCTTAGAAGATACTTTGAAATAGAGGAAAACCAATACATTTATATAACATCGGGGGGTTCATAGGACACAAATCAGTTTGAATCACTAACAGGGAGGGATATATTAAAAGCAATGTGCTGATAAGGCTTAAGTCATGGGCTTTTCTTCTTCGTGTTTTGCTTTGAAGAGAAAATTTCCCAAATCAAAACTGTTCTAGGGACACAGCTACTGCACAGGACAGGCGCACAACCTAAGGTAGACAGCCCCACGAGTGGCTCAAAGTCACACTCACATTCATGGCTCTCTTCCTCCTTTTCAGCCACTGTAATTCAGACAGAAGGGGCCACTGGTCGTTGCTTTCTGTACCTGTGTAAGAGAAAAATGAGCACCAAAATTATGCTTGGCTGCATTCCAGTGGATGTTTTCAAAATATGTGAAGGAAGAGCAGCTTGATAAGTCATCACACACACACAAAAAAAATGGGATAAACTAAGAAGAAAAAGAGAACACTGTTCATTATACATTTCACACCCTCATGGCCAAAAAAAGAGTTCAAACATGTGTTTTTTTCCAAACATCATGAAAAACAGGGTGTTCAAGATTCACTAGAAATATATATTTGGCCTACAACCACATGATGATATCTGAACATCTGAGAGAATTTTACTATGCTTCATTCATTTTAGAATTAAACATAATGTATGACATAAGCTTTTGCATAAATTATTAAAGACTTCTGACACTAATACACAGGAATAGCATCACGTAACCCCACAAATTCAAAAGCAGCCTCTGCCAACATGAGCATGCTCACGATGCCTCAGAAGCAGAGCCTAAGAGGGAGGTGATAAGAGTTGGACAAAGAGATACACATTAGGAAAATTTAAGGATGGGTCTTGGTGTGAATCTCTTTTCTCATTTCGATCACATTCTCTGGTTCCCAGTGCAGTTTTACCCCAGGGGTTTATATTTCAGTTTTTCCATCAAAATGACTCTCGTTTCACTCCACTGCCTTCCACAGTCTCACCCCTAGAACTCAGAGTAATTCCACTTTCCAGCAAGCCTGCGTGTCTGGCCTGCGTGTCTGGCCTGCGTGACTGCAGAGTTCCACCAAGTCACAGCTCCAACCACATAAACTAGAATGGCTATTTTAATTAAAACTTACTGAGATTCTTCATTTGCTTGGAATATTGTCCCGCCAAGGTTTTCTGGATGATATGTGGCCGACCTGTGCTTTTCTGAAATGAAAACAATGGTAGGCAATAAAAAAAGCGAGATGTGAACAAGTTATTATGGAATGGTGTGAGAACTTTCTCTGATGTCCTTCCTGAAACAGAAACACGTATGTCAAACTTTAAGCTATCAAAAATGAAAAGTATATGTCTCATTGAAATGGTAATTTTAAATAAAATAAAGCATCTTCCAATACCCCTGTTTAGATAAAAGCAGAGCTTTATTAGCTATTTTTTAAGCCTTACCTTCTTCAAAGCTATGAGTAGGAAATTCTCAAGAAATAAACGCAAAGGGTCAATAAACATATGAAAATGCTGAATGTTAAGTATTTTAATATTCTTTTAAAACCTAAATTTAAAATGAATTATATGCCAATTTTTACCATCAAGTTAGTAAAGATTTAAAAATCGTCATATCCATAGTTAATTAGTGTTGCAAGAAAAAAACATTCTTTACACATTGTTTGTGGAAGGAAATTGGTATCATAGTTTCAGAGAAAATTTAACAATGTCTATCAGAAACCTTGAAAATACTCATGTCGTTTGGCCTAATAAATTACACTTTTATGAATGATTTATTACCATTACTATTACATTACTATTACCATTACTATTAGCATTTGTTATGGCTTGGATATGCAGTGTCCCCCAAAAGCTTGTGCATTAATTGCAGGAATGTCTGGAGGTGAAATAACTGGATTAGGAGTGCTGCCACCTAATGGGTCCATCCTAGCTGGCATGGAGTGGGTGGTAACTGTAGGCCTGTAGGGTGTGTCTAGAGGAGGTAGGTGAATGGGGCCAGGCCCTAGAAGAGGTCAGCTTCCCTGTGGCCCTTCCCCATCCCTCTGCTTTTTGGCTGCCATGAATTGAGCTCTTTTATTGCTCCCTTCCGCCATGATGTTCAATCTCATCAGAGTCATAGAGTTGGCCAACCATAGACTAAACCTCTAGAACCATAAGCCAAAATACATTTTCCCTCCCTAAGCTGTTCTTGTTGGGTATTTTGGTCCCAGTGACAAAAAGCTGACTAACACAGCTTTCATTACTGAGACGATAGTAGGTGCCAGGCAATATTTAAGTACATATTACCTAATTTATTCCTAACAAGAACACATAGTATATATTTTATCCTTATTTAACAAGAAAAGATATTGAGACTCAGAGATACTTTGAGTTAAATTATATTATAAAATAATGATCCAAAGGCTGGGAATGTAGCTCAGTGGCAGAGGGTGAGGCCCTGGGTTGGGTCCCAGAAAGGGCAACAGCAACAATCATCATCATCATCACCATTATCCAATCAATTTATTTTTAAAAGTTTGGAAATATATCATTGAAAAATAGAACAAATCTATGCAGAAAAATAAAGGTAAGTTATCTTTGAGGATGGATAGATACTATTTAATTAAGTATTTCCTTTGCTTTTCCAAATTTCCTATATTAATTTAATAATCAGAAAAAATATTTATAAAGGAGAGCCTTCTTCACAGATTACATAAAAGAAAATAATGAAGAATTTTACTGATTATACTTTCCTTGTGATAGAACATGAATTTCCAATGGAAATATTCTTTCTGTATCACTTATTACAAAGCATAGTAAAATTAATAAAAATAATATGGACATAAAGAAATCCAAATTCACTGGGTGTGGTGGCACATGCCTGTAATCCAGTGGCTTGGCAGGCTGAGTCAGGAGGATGGCAAGTTCAAAGCTAGCCTCAGCAACAGGCAGGCACTAAGCAACTCAGTGAGACCCTGACTCTAAATAAAATACAAAATAGGGATGAGATGTAGCTCAGTGGTCAAGTCCCTCTGAGTTCAATCCCAAGTACCCCCCCCAAAAAAGAAAAGAAATCCAAATTCAATATTACTCAGCCATAAAGAAGAACAAAATTATAGCATTTGCCAGCAAATGGGTGGAAGTGGAGACTATCATGCTAAGTGAAATAAACCAATCCCCAAAAAACCAAAGGCTGAATGTTCTCTCTGATAATTAGATGCTAACACACAATAAGGGCAGGTGGGCAGAAAGAACAGAAGTTCATTGGATTAGACAGAGGGAAATGAAGGGAAGGGAGTGAGAATAGGAATAGGAAGGATAGTAGAATGAATCGGACATAACTTTCCCATGTTCACATATGAATATATGACCGGTGTAACTCCACACCAATACAACCACAAAAATGGGAAGTTATACTCCATGTATATATAATAGGTTAAAATATACTCCACTGCCATGTGTATCTAAAAAGAACAAACAAAAAAATGTGGAAAAAAAAAAGAAATCCAAATTCAAGTAAACACTTGATTCTAATAACAGGTGAAAAGATATCTAGAGTAATAAAATTCACAACTGGATCAGCAACACAATTTTTTAAGCTTCAAACACTGTTCCTCTCCCTCTACCCATGGTGAGGACGAGAACAAACCATTACATGAACAAAAGGCAGGCAGTAGGAAGGCAGGCAAAAAGAGAAGATAATAAGCATGTAACAATCACCTCATGTATTATATAATTATGGGCCTAACAACATGAAAGCAGTTCTTTAAACATTATGATAATCATAGTTTACATACACACAAACCTTTTCAGCAGTTTAACATGCACCATAACATACATTTATTAAATCACTGAATCTGCAAAATTACCCTATTAGGGATGCATTGTAAAATTATCTCATTTACATATTTTTAAAACTCTAAGGCTTAGAGAATTATTATTTTGGATTGTTTGTTCTTTGGGGTTTTGTTTTTAGGATAAGATGGCATTAATCAAAGCAAAAATCAAAGTGATTTTATTTTTCCTGAATGAGTCCAAAAATTTTGCTGCATATGGACTATTTGTCTATAAATGGAGTCAGGGGAATAACACTTTACTTAACCTAAGTATCTTAATCTAAGTTCTGTTTTCTTTACTATCTGGTAACTTTGAAAGTAACTAGGTTTTAAAAAAATGATAAAAGTTTATTCAAACAAGCAACCATTTACAATTTAGTAACTTTTCTGCCTCAGATTTGGAAGGTATCCCATATTCCCGTGTACTTTAAGAAAAAAAAAATGTTTTCTGCTCCCCAACAAATGACGGCAATATTCTGACTCTGTCATTCTCAAAATATTGTTTTTTTCCTTTATTAGTCCTCTTCACTGATCTGACTTCCCTACTGTTACCTCTCAGGGCCTCCTGCCACTTCCCCCATTCAGTCCTCTCCAACCTCACCATGTCCCCCAAAGCTCCCTGAACACATTAGGCTCACTCCTGCTTCACAGCCTTTTGTATTTGCACATCTCCTAGAATGTTCTAATCTCCTTAAGGTCTTTATTCAAAACACCTTCTCCATGTGGTCTTCCCTGCTCCCTGCACATAATGTTTAACTCTCCTCTCTCCCTGGCTTCATTTTCTCTCCTTAGCAAGCATCATTATTTAAAATGCCACACGTAATTGCCTGTTCATCCCATCTGCCCCTGTAGACTAGAAGCTCCATTAGGCTGAGGTTCTATGTCTATTTTATCACTAATGTATCCCTAACACCTAAAATAGTTCCCAGCAAGTAGTAACACCCTCCATACACGATTTGATGTCTTTTAGGTTTGGTCACATTCTATTAGTGAACCACATGACCAAGATTATGTGATTTCTTATCTAGGTCACACTGGTGTGCCCATGACTAAAGATTATTTTCTTCCCTATCTTGAAACTTACATTTTGTATCATATAATCAAATTCCCTCATTTTCAGGGAGCAGAAATTAAGTACATGGTTAGAACCACAATTATCTAAAGGAGACTGTGAGAGGGAAGTTGGATACCATTTTGTTTTGCAGGAGCAGGGCTACTGCAAAACAAAACGACTCCTGATCTCACGGTGGACTAGAAGAAACTGGCCTGAGCTACAGAAAACCCTAGTTGCATGCCTCTGATTATCCCTTATTGGTATGTGGGCACAGCACATGCAATGTAAGCTTCAAAACTCACGGGACCCTTCTAAGTTAGAAATAAGGTAATATGGATAAGCACACTTTGCAATCTACATTTTCTCTTACTGCTCAAAGGCAAAGATGCTGAAAAAGTGAAACACCACAGGGAAACTGATGTCCCATGGCAGTCAGGCTCACCTCGTCATGAGTCAGCTCCAGCGGCTCTATCATGTACACGAAGGTACTGTCTTCAAACATCCCACTGTAACAAGAGAATCCACCGAAGGAGAGAATGAGCAAATACCGCAATGGCAAGAAATAAAAAGTCAGCTTCCTAATGGTGCCCTCAAAATAAAGAGTGCATCTAAACCGACACCTTTATAACTGTTCCAAATCCAGCAAATGGGTGGAAGTGGAGACTGTATAGAATCCCACTGTGTCCCTCTGCTAGATAGCACATAGGCTACAAGAAGTGTAAAAACGCCCACCAAGAGCAAATATATATATATATATATATATATATTCTTGATAGAATTAGTTTCTAAGAGCAAATGGGCAGATGAGAACATTAATCTAGGATGACTCCTGTGGTGGCAGTATCTCAGGTTATTTTAGAATCGTGTACAACTTGTACAAATTTCTTAGCTTGCAAATCCAGTGTCATCTAGAAGAGAAATGACAGGTCCTCATATAAGAATCATCCAGAACCATCTGATTTTGAAGAGGAAAGCAGACGTACACTTATGCTTGTAAATGGTGAGTACATTTCCATCAAGCAGTACAATTGTGTCATTTACATCATATTTAATTATGACAGACATGAGGTTTTTAATATAAAGTATGAAAAAAGAAAACGTGTCAAAAGCCTTTTTCATCACATGGCTGAACTAGATGTTCACATGAGGTGCTACTGTGTTCGGGTCCAAAAGTGCTCACAGATGGTTTCTTAGAGCCTGCCTCTAACTCAAGACACAAGTGCCTCTCTTTATCGTTCCACCCTTGCCTGGCTAACTCCTAGCCATACATAGGTTTGATCCAACGGCTGCTGCATCCTCTGGAATATGCCTCAGGGAACCTGCCTGAACTGAGCTCAGTCACTCTTTATCCCTCCTACTTGGACCCTGAGTATTCCCCAAAGGCCCGTATGCCAAAGGCTTGATCCCTAGAATGGTGCCACTGGGAGGGGTACGACCTTTAAGAGGTGTGACCTCGTGGAAGGTCTGTAGGTCATTGAGAACATGTGGGACCCCAGGACCATTTTCACTCTCTTGTTTTCCTCCTGTTCATGTGATAAATAATTTTGTGGTTCCACGTGCTCCTACCATGAGATATCACCTCCAAACAGGCACAAAGCAATGGAGCTAATGAATCATAGACTGAAACTCCAAAACTTTGAGCTAAAATGAACCTTTTCTCTTTATAAACTGGTTATCTTGAGGTTTTTGTTATGGCAACAGAAGCTGAAAAAAAAAAAAAGAGAGCTAATGTGCTCCTGTCCTTCCCCTTCACAGCACCTACCAAAATGGTAACTAAATATCATCCTGTGCAATCATTTGTTTAATCTCTGGATCTTCTGCAAACCCTATTTTTTAAAGAGAGAAAAACTCTGTATCCCTGTGAACTACTCCATATCCAGTCCATAACATGGAACTGGCACAGATGATCACTGAAATAAATATCTGGGGGGAAAAAATAGAAAGGGTGAACAATGAAAGCAAACTTAGAGGGAAAGAGGGTCCAAAGAGATCCCCACATACTGAAGTCCATTGCATGTTGACAGAGCCACCTTGGAGTCTTTGACACCTCTGATGCTTCCATGGTAGTAACAGTGTTCTCCACCCTACAAAAGAGAAGGTTTGACTGATCATATTTTATGCACTGCGAATCACTCTTTGGTTGGTTCTATAAAGCAAAAACAGACGAACAAAAACAAAGATGGGAAGGTGTGGTCACTATGTATTAATCTATGTATTAATAATCCTCGAAACTGGTCCTATGTGAAGTCATGAATGAGACTAGACAATTTTAAAACTTTTCTATAAAAGTATGTGTGCATTAAATTTAATGAAGGAGTAAAGGCTCTAGTGGGAATAAAACCAATGTAAGTGAAAAAAAATTTATTTACATTTCTTAAGCATGTATTATAGGAGCAGATTCTTACCAGATGCTACACAGCTGTTTCCTTTCTCCCCTGCTCCACTACCCCAACCTCCAAGTCAACCATTTTTAACTCTTCAAGTTGTTTCTTCTTGTGTTTACCAATGCATTTTTAATGGAATATTTATATGGCTATGTCCTGATGATTTATTTCATTTTAGAATTATCTTCCTAATACAGAATCATGAAAACTCCTCTCACCCTCAATGCATTCCAATACACATCACCAGTTTTTGGTTAAATCCAAATTTAATGTTTATATTATGACTTTGCAAATATCTTTCACAGCTGTGATACTATAATTACATTTTCTTTCTTGCCTCCATTTAAGTTTTTTTAAAAGTTTTGCTTCATTTTCTTGTTTATTTTTTCACGTAGTTACCATATATGCATCTCTCGTATCTAAGAGTACTCTAAAACTCCTCTCAATATGGTCAAACATATCAAGTAACACAGCATATCCATTTTGCACCTGGAGACACCCCCCTTGTTTCTTTTCAGCCTCATGCTTTGGTCTCCATTGTACCTTTTTAGGCCCTGTGCACAACCGCCATTCAGGAGTTCTCTGTGCTGCACTGAGATCACCCTTTGCCTGCCTCCTTCTATATTGGGTCCTAGACTCATGTCTTCCCCATCTGAGGCCCCCATTCCCCTCTATAGAGAGGTTCACTTCCTCTGGTACTTTCTTGGAAGAGCAATGATGGAAGATAAATTTAGTGAAAACTTGTGTGCACAAACATTTCTTTTTCAACCCTCGCAGGAGATCCACAGTTTTGGCGGTTAGAGAATATGCCAGATAGGACACTATTTTCTCTCCGTATCTCATAGACCTTGAATACAGTCTTCTTATTTCTGAAGGGGCTGTGACAAATGAACATTATTCTAAGTTTTAGATGTTTCTATAAAGTCTGCTGTTTCTCTTTTAAGAAGGCTTCAGGAAATTCTATTTATTCTCATTTTCATGCAGTCCCATACTGTGCCTTGGTCTGGGTCATTTCTCCTTCAATACACTGAGCACTCTGGTACTTTGTAATCAAGAAGACTCATGCACTCAGTTCTGGGAAACTACCTTTTATTATTTCTCTAGTGATTTCCTCCTTTCCATGTTTCTCCACAGATTAAGCGCCTTCACCAGACTAGAAAGGAATGGCCACCTGTCTAAATCAGAGATTCCTCTTCAAGTAAACCTTCAACCAACTTTCTCTTTTCAAACGCCTTTGATTCCTGAGCCTTTCTGAGTTTAGTGACATGAATTGTTTTTCTGCTTCCTGTCTCCCACCAAGAGAACTTAGCAAAAAGGAAAGGCTCAAAGCCAAAAGAGGGACCCTTCTTCCATCTGCTGAATCTCCTGAAATTTTATGGACACTTCTCATCTGCTGACTTCTCTTCTCTTGTCCTTGCCATTGTGTATATATATACTCCTTAACTGTTATTTTATATATATATATTCTGTCCTCAAATAGCAAACTTGCATAGAGTTATTGGTTGCATATGTTAAATTCTATGTGTGTGTTTAACTCTGAAACCTATAAGGACAAATGGTACCACATATCTCAGCAACTTGAGAATTCAGGTCAATATTCAGCAATTTACATTTCAGATTCTTCACATGGTTCTAAAAATGGCCATGGGTAACTGTAAATTCCATCAAATTGATTATTTAGCACTTTGTATCACACCAAAAAGCTATCTTAAGTCAAGTGATGGTTAGAAGTAAATGCATAGCAAGCTCTCATATTTACTTGACCTTTCTAAGAAAAGCTATTTCCAGATTTTCCTAAAAATATTCTTTTTTTCCCCATAAAGTATTTCCAAGACCTTTCTTAGATCTAAGTTTCATTCATCTGCAATGGAAAGTTAAGGTTGATGCTCACTGTCAAGGTCATTGTTACCTTTGAATTAAGGTAGGATATTATCTGAAGAGAACCTAAGTTCTCTATATATTGGAATGTGGATAACCATGTTTTCTAAACCTTAAATGAGATCAAAGATAATATTCACCCCTTAATGTTTAGCATAATTAGAAAGCTTATTATCTAAATTGTAGTTTTATTAAGCACTATAAACATTTTGGTAGTTTCCAATTATAGTATTAGAAGGTTTTCTGAGTTTCTTAATATTAAATTTATAAGATTTCTTAAAAGTATTGTAGAAAAAATAGTATTTGGCAACTCTTCAGATCTTTATAGCATTTTCTAAATGCCACCTCAAAGTAAGTAAGATCTTGAGGTATTCTGTATAAAATAAACTCCTGAGAGAGAAGAGGCAACCTTTTGGGGGTAAGGAGCATAATGATAGTGGGTCAGTAAAGAGGGGCTACACCCAGAGGGCCTGGTTCCCAGTGACACTGGATAGTCAGCCCAGGAATGCCTCCCACCCAACAATCCGCCATCTTAAATAATCACAGCATGACCAAAACCACTAACTCCATGTACCAATTGGGAGACAGGCACCAAGTGCTGAAGGCTCTGCCAACAAGAGCAATAGACAAAACTGAATTCCACGTCTTCAGGTTCTTGAGCTAATGTCTCTTTTTCCAGTTAGGAAAGCCTCAGACCATTCACAAGGACTGGCCAGCATCAGCCCCTTATGAGTGGTCACAGATGGATTAAGCAAACAGCAGGAAAGAGAACCAAGGAAAGCTAATTAGGCACATGATGCAAGTTATCTGTGTGCCCCCCACGGACATCAGCATTTTCACATCCAAACTGTGAGTCAGTTAATTAAATTCAACAAAAAATAGAGCATCTGATAAATGGAACTTACTGGCAGAGGAAATTAAAATCCTGGTAAGCATACTAACTTTCTCAACCCACCACTTCCACTGAAGCAGAACACTCCACGAGCCAAATAATGTTCAGACCAGAACTCTGCCCCCCAGGATAGCCAAGCTCCAAACCCAGGCCTGTTCTTCAAATACAGAAATCCTGAGACCACAGGCATCTTTGAAAACACCTCGTAATCAGGTATGGCTAGGGACAGCAACTTCATAATTCTAGTGATACCAAACTTGGAAGAGAAAAAAGTACTTGGTTCTCTGATACCATTGATTTAATAACAGGAATGGTGTGATTCTCCTCCCTTCAATGAAAAGAGAGCCACCAATAACTCCCTTGAATAACAGTTAAGGAATAAAAAGGGGTATAAACCCACAAGGACAAAGACAAGAGAGGAAAAGGCAGCAGACGGGGAGTGCCTATAAAATTTCAGGAGATGGAAAGCAGATGGAAGGGGTGGCTCTCTCAGGTTTGAGCTTCATCTGGCTTGCTAAGTTCTATTGGGGAAAAAAACATAAAGGAGCCAGCCAACATTTAATTTTTTAAAATTGTCCCACTCCACCATTGTATCTGTTTACCTCATCTGCTTAAGTAAAGTTCCACCAGCAGGTTCTTATTATCCCCATAGCCTAAGAAATTCCCATAAACCTGAACATCCATGGTGACCCAGCCTTGACATTTTCAATCAACTCCTGAAGGTCTGCATAAACATTTTAAAATAAACTACCCAGATCTTGGCTAAGAAATGGTGTATGTTAGGAGATCCAGGTTCTGAATAGACTAAAAATGATGACATCATACTCAAGTTATTATTCTACATACACATTTTTAAATACTTCAAATGATCAACTAACTGGTTATGCAAATCTATTTTTTAAACCAGAGGTCTGGTAGCAAAAGATAAGTAGGAAAAAAAAAAAAAGATATCTATAATGCGATGCATGTACCTGAATTGGAAGACTGCAGAATGAGAAAAAGGAAAAAAACAATTTCAGAGAATCAGGGAATTTGAAACTCCAGCACCAGTTTAATTATTTACCTTCATTAAATTAGACAGGGAAAAAACATTCTTGCAGCAGTTTGTTAATAAAGTATCAGAACAATTTGGCTGGCTGTACCAATGCAATATAAATGTTCAACACTGCTCAAACTTAATTAACAGCTGGGCACGGTGGCACACACCTGTAATCTCAGCAACTAGAGAGGCTGAGGCAGGAGGATTGTGAGTTCAAAGCCAGTCTCAGCAAAAGCGAGGCACTGAGGAACTCAATGAGACCCTGTCTCCAAATAAAATACAAGATAGGACTGGGGAGGGGGCACAGTGGTCGAGTGCCTCTGAGTTCAATCCCCAGCACCAAACAAACAAAAGAAAAACCTTAAAATTAGCCTTGAAGAGTCAGTATTGTCACTATCTTGATTTCCTGGGGCATTTTTTAACCCCATGCTTCTTTCATTTTCTATAATGTGCTCAGAATGTTGCCAAGAAAGGTAATTTTTAAAATAATTAGCAATAATAATTTTGATTTGAAACTCAAATAACCAATAATTCTACATCTAATATAAAAGGTTTCTTTCCTTATTATGACTTAAATTGCTCATGATTTACCAGTGATGAGCAATGTTTTTAAAAGCCAGTTATTAATTCGAAGGCTATGAAAAAATCAAAATGTACACACTAGTCAAAAAGCCATTTCATTTAAGCTAAAGGGTAGAAAGCAAGCTTTAAATCACTTCTTTTTGGTTAGAAAAAGAACACACAAATGTATGTTTAAATCCAATTATGACAATCTGAGAGGAAAAGGAAAATAGATGAAGAAAAGCAGCCTGAGGAAATTTATTAAAAAAAATAATAAAAGAAGAAGGAATGGGAACAAAAGAAAAGGAGTGAAGAGAAGAAATAAAAAAA